GCAAAGTGCCTCTATAGGGAAATGCTTTAAATGAGTCCAACAGGAAGTATCAACTCTGATTATGCGGATTATCAATAAACTTATCTGTTTATGACGGAAAAAGATCCCCGTGATTTAAAATAGAAAGGACCTCATTACCTCTGATCAACAACAGTATGTGTATAACTGACCTCCTGATGGTCAATCTGTCTACTGATGAAAAAGTCTGACTCCTTTAAAAGAGAATCCGCCAAGAATCTTTGTGACGATTAAAATATTGTTAACTAAAAGATTAACACCGAATGCAATTTACAAATTCAACACATATTAGAATCTTTTAACAAAATACCCAAAAGTGAAAGCAAATCTTAAGGGTTTATTTTGTGAAAAAACATTTAGAATAATGATATTATTGGACATATGTTATTTGCCCATGATTACATATTTTATTAAACAACTTTTAAAAGAGACAGAGAGAGAATGTAGACTCTTTTTTTGTTTCTGATAATGAAGGTATGAGGCGGACCTGCTTCATCCAAAATAAAAGATTGTGGAGGATCAGTGTTAGGTTAAGAAATGTATTATACTAATGAAAAATCATCCAGAGTCAGGATCACAAGTATACATGTGTGTGTGCTTGGTAGGCCATGTTGTTCTCTGTCAAAGCTTTCAACTAAAGCCACAGTTCAGTCTCAGTTCATTTTGAAGGAAGGCGGTTTTGTATGGCTGTTTTTTCACTGTGTGAACAGCCACTGACTGTTGATGTAGTGGAAACTCTGACAGTAATAAACTGCAGCATCTTCAGCCTGAACTCCACTGATGATCAGAGTGAAGTCTTTGTAAGTGAAGTTATCAAATTAGCTAACAAATGATGATGTGAGGCTGTATATGCGCATTGATTTCCAAATATCAAACATCAAATAAAACGTATATAAGTCTATCATTTAAAAATATCCATTAAGTAACAATCAACCAAAAGAACAATTTCTAAAAATATATATGGAATATTTGACCAAAATAAACTGAAACTGATTCATCAGCCTCTTGTTAATATGTTTGATTGTGTTTGTAAAATGATTATAAAATATAAGTATACTTAGAATATTCTGGGTAGTTACTTTTGTGTGTGTCCTCAGTGAACTGTATCAGTCTGCAGCTGTCAGTTCAGTTTCAGTTCAGTTTGTCTGGAGGTTTTTGTATGACTGTTTTTCACTGTGTGAACACATACTGACTGTTGATAGCATGGAAGCTCTGACAGAAATAAACTGCAGCATCTTCAGCCTGAACTCCACTGATGGTCAGAGTGAAGTCAGAGTTTGATCCACTGCCTGTAAAACGACTTGGAGTCCCTGATACTGTGTGGCTCGCAGAGTGGATGAGAAGTTTAGGCTTTTCTCCATCTCTCTGTTGGTACCAGTGTAAACGGTGGTATCCACTCCAAACATAAACGTTCTGACTGGTTTTACATGGGATGGAGACGGAGCCCCCCACAG